CCCCCCCCCCCCCCCCAACAGAATCTTGTTACTACTAGAAGAAATCTCTTAAAACAAGAGATGACTTTGCTGATATGGATAAACTATCTCCATATTCCCCAAATAGTGGATATGAATGGTTAATGGGCCAAAAAAAGTCTCCTAGCTGGACAGGATATGTTTGGAACAAATTCACTATTCCCAAACATAAGGTTATACTCTGGCTAATTTGCAAAGATAGACTATAGACAAAGCTAAGGATTATTAAATTCTTCCCAGTAGACACTCTCTGTCTATTATGCAAAACCGAAGAAGAGGATTGTCAACATCTCTTCTACAAATGCGTATATACAACAGAAGTATATGCAGAGCTAGAAAAGTGGACTAAGTATAAGTTTGAAGGAGATACAGTAGGAGATATATTTGATAGGATGAAGTCTGTTGGCCCTACTAAACAGAGACTAAGTTTGATAGCTATATTTACTGCATGTGCATATTTTATCTGGAAGGTAAAGAACCTAATTCTACACAAGAACTCCTTCACTCCAGTGGAGGATACTCACTAGAACATTAAGTATCATGCACGCACATTCTTAACTGCTAAAGGGGGTTATTATGTTTGAGCTTACCTACTAATCTATTTTTTTAGCTTTCATAGCATTATGTAGTTTGGGTGTAGTTCTGCAGTTGATGTTATATGTATTTTGGTGGGATGCTGTGTTTTGAGTTTTGTTATCAATAATATTTGCATTTTGTTCAAAAAAAATGTTAATGATGAAGCTACGAGCAATTAGGGTTTATCACAGGTTTCCATAACAATAATCCAACATGCTTTAGTCATGGACAACTCTATGTTCCGGTTTTAAGAATAACTAATCGTAGTGGGTTGAAGATTCTGATATATAATGAAGACAATATTCCCACAAATTGTTCAAATAATGTAGTCTATAAAGAAGTATTTCAAAATTTGTAAAGCAGTGATGTTTTATACCTTAAAATAATATAATCTCTATATTCTATTGCATCTCATTTTTTATCATTGAATTTAATAACATAAAAATGACCCGTGCAACGCACGAGTCATTTTTACTAGTTAGTATACAATCTTTAATATATATTTTTTCACTATGTCAAAATACTAACCGTGCAACACACGGGTTAGAGATCTAGTAACCTTAATGTCCATAGAAAATTTTCGTGGAAGAGAACATGAACTTTTCGCAAAAGTTTTTTCTACAAATGGTTCAACAAGTTTTCAACTTCAATCACCAACTCTCTCAGTTTCCTCCATTTTAGGACTTTTGAATATGGACATCACAATTTGAAGTTTGACCATCTTTACGTTAGAAGTGCCTTCATAATATTTCATGCTTTCTTGGTCTCTGTACAATTCGAGATATGCGGGTTTGAGTTCTATCAATGACTCCAAAAATACCATTCATAGTTTGGTCATTGATTTCTACAACAACCTTTTCATTTTTGGATTAATTTTCATTTGATTTTGGAATTACTTCTTCATCTTCACTAGTATATGTGGGTACATCCAAGCTCCATTATTCCCCAAACCTAGGATACATAATTTTCTTTAAAAAAGGAAAAATTGATATAAATACTCCCAGAAATTTGAAATTTTACAATAATATTCCCAAATTTAATAAAAGACTCTGGTGCTTCCGATTAAACTATAAGTTTACATTGCTACTCCCACTATTCCTAATCAGCTTTTCTTATGCTTACATGTAAGTAATTATGCTTAGTTGACATCTTAGTTGTTCTTTTTGTTTTAATAGGAGAAAAAAAAATTGTATAAATACTCTTTGAAATTCAAAATTTTACAATAATCTCTCAAAACCAAATAAAGATTCCAGTACTCTAAAAAATATCTTCCTTTTACGTGTTATGATGTTTAATAAAAGTGGTGTGAAATCAAAAAATAAAATTATATATCTAAAAACTACATTATAAGATCTATAAAACTAGTAATGATATAATTATATTATTTTATCAAATACATAATTAAAATAGATAAGCAAAGTAAATAAAATTTGATCTTGTTAATACTCTTGATAGTGAATGAGAAGATAATTTTTGGACAGAGGGATATTTTTTATTAAAATATAAAAAACTACTTAAGATGCCAATTAAGCTCAATTAATTAATCTTTAATATTACTAAAAAAATTATTTTTACATATTACTATATTAGTTTTTAATATGTAATTTTTATTTTT